ACATACATGAGAAATAATAAATTTGACATTGTACCTATGTGGTGGAATTCTATTTGATGCTAAATTATCAAATATTCTTCCTCATAATAGTTGTTAGTATCATCTTCTATTGAGTCAAAACTGGAAAATATTTTGCTTTAATCAATTAACTTGGCAATCAACATTATGCAGTTGATTGATATACTTATTCATGCTAGCTAAGATAACACTTTTCTATCGTATAATTTGCACAAATTACTTTTTTATTTAATTATAAAACTATTTCCCTTATTAAGCGATCTTCACGACAAAATAAAGCGAAAAGTTACTGAATAATAGATGTTCTTACTCTTACATTTCTTGTTGGCTGATTTTTTTCTCCATTTGAGGCTATAAGTATGAATTTATCAAGATAGTATTTACAGTCTCTGCTCTCATCGATTTTGAAACTACTGTACTACTTGATTTAAATCACCTTCTAAAATTATTACTTTTTGAACAAACATTTCTTTGATATCCATATATCTGAAGCTCATGTCAATTGTTTTAGTTGTGTGACGGTTCGTCATGGACGCTTCATATATCCCATATTATTAACTTTGTTTTCCTTATAATTAATACCATCACTCTGCTTTGATATATCTGTGAAGGTTGTTTTGATAGTTCGAAGAGATATGTGGAATATAAAGTGAGTTGTATGACCTCCTGATAAAATTGTTGCTACTTGTTACTACACCACTTGTTGCTATTGCTAATGGTTCTTGATCAAATATTTACAAGTAATGCACGATATATGAATATTTGTTTCGATTCGTCCGTGACTTTCTACAAAGGATAATTCCGTTTTATAATAGTCGTCTCTTGCAATATAATCTTTAAAGCTTGCTCGTGTATTAAAAAAATTCTCAAGCACTTGTGTGACCTTTTGACCCTTAATACTATCGTAATCAACTTTTTGTGTTTGTTTTTTAATTTCACCTTCAATGATCTTCTTATATAATAAACTTATATATCCTAAGAGTTTTATAAGCTTGAAAATTATTTTACATTTTGATGAAATTAAAAAAGAACAAAATTGGATGCTCTTGCTAAATAGTTAATTGAAAGACTTAATTATTTGATCTTAATATTAGCCCATCTCATATTTTGAATATTTAATAGTGATTATAATTTTAGCTACTAAATATCAATTTGAAATTCTAGTTTTGGATCTCTATGAGGTAGAAATATAAATGGTATTGAACCTTACCAACCATCTCTCTCACACACATGCACATTTATATTCTTAATATTTTTTAGTTATTTATTTTAATTATTGATGGTAATTTTATATATTACCTAAAAAATTTGATGAGTAGTATTTTGAGTAAGAAATTAACTCAAATATAATATGAAAAATGTACTGTTCATATATATAGTTCTAAAATAATATAAAAGGAACTACAGTTATGTTATAATTTTCAAATAAAAATAATTGAAATATTAACTAAACCTTTAGTCGGTTGAATTAAAATATGGCATATATATATTTAGAATAGAAAGGGAAAAGGGGATCATCTTATTCATAATAATATGTAAACTGCTCGTTATTCTTGTCCAACTATTAATAGGATTAAATTAATAGTAGTAAATATTGCCGAATGTGTATGTCCTTAAAGTGGCCTAATGTGAATGTCCTAAAACTAATAGAATTATAAGGCTAATATCTAGAATTTCGGTTGTCCTTTTATTATNTTATTTTTTATGCAATTTTACCAGTTTATAAATATTTACTATAATTATATTATTTTATAAAATACTAAAAATTAAATACTTACGGGGCTTACGCCTCGTTGAGGCATATGTAAAACGCCTCGCCTTGCGCTCACGCCTTTTAAAACACTATCTACAAGCATTTTGCACAACTGATTTATGGCAAGCTCTTTTAAAGAAGTGTAATAAAGTTCTCATGACTTAATTTTTAAAAACTTCTAGTATCCATTAAGTAATTCTAAACTTTTGATCCATCAACCCAACAAAGAACAATATACAACGTACTCACACAGTTAAGTAGTCCATTACTCAAATGGTCGTCACTCAACTATCCAAAATTATCTATTAAAGTCATTTATTTTTTGTTTGTAAAATCAAAGTCACTCATTTATGCATATAATACTCAAAAGGTCACTCAACTAGATTTCTTAAACTTTTGATTGTCAACCTATTTTACCCTCTAAATTATCAACTTTTATCTTCTTTTTACCTTTTTAAAACTTTTTAATATTATAATTTTTTTCTCTTTTTAATTTATATTATGAACTTACCTATAGAATAAATAAGTTTTATTTATAAATTAAAAAAAAACAAAATAGTGTTTAAGCATATATAATGTTGGAATAAAAAATATTGAGCATAGTAAAAAAATTAATTAGAGCAATTTGTTCGTAATAATAATTTTGATATTAGCAGCCAAAACTCAAAAAATTATTTACACAATTGAGAATAAAAGAAAATAAAGGTTTGTTAATATATATTCCACGCACATAATATAAAAATAATTATTTAAAATAAATATATTTTTATAATATGTATTATATATTCTTGAAAATTATGCTCAATTCTGTTATTATTCCGACATTGTATATGCTAGAAAACTATTTTTTATTTTTTATTTTTTATTTTTAATTTGTAGATAAAATTTATTTGTTCTATAGGTAAGTGCATAATATCAAATACCTATTTTAGAAATCTGGTAAGTCCATAATATCAAAATAAAATAGGTATTGGATAATCAAAAATTTTAAAAATCTGATTGAGCGATCTCCTGAGACCTAGTGCTAAGCGACTTTTCTCAACATGTACACACTATCGGTTAAAGAAACTCTCTCATCTTTAATTTTTTACATGAGTGCACCGACCAACAACCAAATGATTAATTCAATTATCTTATTATATTAAAAGGAGAGTAGTATGCATTGTGGTTAAGTCAAGTGGCAAGTTAAATTGAAGCTATTTGCCAATATTAAGACAATATTAATAATTAAAAATTATAAATAGAAACATAATTAATGGAAGTAGTTGATTCAATCTTATATATAATCTAAATAGATCTTAGACAAATCTAATCTATATATCTATATTTATATGTATATTGGTATCTACATCTATATTTATATTTTATATCTATATATTGATCCACTCATAGATTTTCTTATATATTAACTAGAAATATGGAGGCGAAAAATTAATTAAAAGGCTATAACAGAAACAAAATAAAAAATATAAAAAGACGTAAATTGAGATAACATATGATTATTTATATTTTGGAGTGAGTTAAAATATAAAATAAAAGTGACGTCTTAAGAATAAGACACATAGCAAAGTAAGACAAAATAAATAAGAATTTAGGAAAGACTTAGGATAAAGTTAAAAGGATAAGAAGAAAATATAATGTATTAATTTTGTATCACATTCGAAGATTTGGAAAATCTTCATTTTTAATTGGACTAATAAATGCCTAAAGTTATGGGATATTGTAAATCCTATTTAAAACTACTTTGCCGCTATAATTCTAGGCATTTAAAAAGGGTTATTTGCAAGAAATATATATTTGAAAGGGTAACATTGAAAGAATTTTCTTTGAAGCCTACGTGCTTTTTCCTAATTTAACATTGAGTATTTTAATATTGTTAACTTCTCGGAAAGTCGAAAAATTTATAAACCAAATTCCAAGAGAATATGTGTGCGCGCATATATATGTGTGTGTGTATAAATTATTACAAGAAAAAAAAAGCACATTAATCTATAATGTATTGTAATGAAAGTAGTGGACAAGGATACAAATAATTTTAAGTTATGGGTAATGCAATACGGACAAGAAATTAAAAGAAAAAGAGAATATATATATATATGGAAGGATGGATAAGTTATGGGTAATGCAATACGGACAAGAAATTAAAAGAAAAAAAGAATATATATATATATATATATATATATATATGAATGTAGAAATATATGGAAGGATAAGACTTATTTGATTTTTGAGAAGAGAAAGTATTTTAAATAATAACGAATAAAATTTGTATTGTGGTTAAGTCAAGTGACAAACTACTGTAAAACAACTTGAAAATTTAGGATAATGTTAATACTAATACTTAATTTAAATATATTTTTTTTAATTTGTATGAAAAGACGGTGAATATTTTTGTAAAGACATTGTCTGCCCTATCTTAATTAATAAGATTTAAAAAATAAATAAATTGAAAGATAAAAACAATGCCTTTATCCTAATTAATTATAAAGATAAGAATATATGTAATATAAAAAATATGATAAATTTAAACATTAATATGAACAATAGAATAAAAGAATAAAAGTAAATAAAAAAATTTACTACAAGAAAAAAAAATATTTTATTTATAATGTATTACACTCAGATTTCTCTATAACATCATCCCTATATAACAACACTTCACTATAAAAGCAAGCTTTTTCCGCAACCAATTTTCATGTTATGTTATAATATATGTGCTCTGTAACAACACTTCTCTATAACATCCAAAAATATTCGGAACAAACGAGGCTGTTATAGAGAGGTTTGACTGTATAGTGGAAGTAACGGACAAGAATATGATAATGTTAAGTTATGGGTAATGCAATATGGACAAGAAATTATGGGTAATTGTAAGAGATTTGAGAAATTTCTGCGTTTTTATTAACATTTATTTAATGATTATATATAACTTTTATCTGAAAGATTAATATTTTAAAGTTATTTGCACATAAATCAAATAACTCAAAATTAGAGATTTGTGTCCGTGTATCGCGCAGGTACTAATACTAGTTTCTTAAAAGTCGCATCATGTGTTAGACCACTTATTAGTGCTCAAAATTTATTTACTCTTTCTCTTAAGGAATCTTAATTTTCGTCCAACTATTTGTGAGTGTTTCCAATGCTCGATCGTGTATTTATATAGCTAGTTTAGTACTTAGGCAAAGACTAAAAGAAATTAACATTATATTGTAGAGGATTTTGAAAAGAGATGGGGGTTGCATCAAGATTGCTATCAACAGTTTCCAAGAAGACAATCAAACCTTTTTCTCCCACCCCATCTACTCAAAGATTGCACAAGCTTTGCCTTCCTGGCCAAGCCTTCCCTCCCAATCATATACCCTTGGTGTTTTTCTACCCCAAACAACAAGTAGATACCATATTCCCAAATGGACATAAACAACGACTATCTAAATTTCTAGAGATCTCTTTATCAAAAACATTAACTTGTTACTATCCATGGGCAGGACGTCTAAAAGATAATGCCACTGTAGAATGCAATGATGTTGGGGCCGAGTATTTTGAAGTTCAAATTAATTCTTCAATGGATGAAGTTCTTCATCACTCAGATTCAAGAATCAAGGATTTGGTCACATTTCCTCAAGGTGCACCGTGGGGGAAGTGTATGGATCGTGCTTTAGCTATAGCACAACTCAGCCATTTCGAGTGCGGAGGAATAGCAATCAGTGTCTGTTTATCACACAAAGTGGGAGACGCATGCAGTTGCTACTGCTTTTTAAGGGATTGGGCCTCATTAACACGAGATCCAAACACGAAAATCGCGTCTAGTCCATACTTTGTTGAGGATTCCGTAATACCATCACCACTGCCTGATGGTCCTCTTGCTTCTCCGGTGAGTAAAAAAAAGCAAGAATGTATAGAAAAGACTTTTGATTTCTCTGCCTTGAAAATAAGTCCCCTCAAAGCCTTTGTTGAAGCTGAATCAGGAGTACAAAATCCGACAAGGAACGAGGTCGTGAATGCACTTGTTTACAAATGTGCTGCTAATGCAGCTTCCATTCATCAATCTCATCAGTTGGTCCAGTACACAAATATTCGACCAAGTGTTTCGCCTCCATTACCACCAACCTCCATTGGAAATCTTCTAACAGTCTTTTCGACACCAATATATAACAGTAGTAGAGAAGGAGACTTCAATTTGTCAAAAATAGTTACTGATATAAGAAATTCAAAACAGAAGCTATTGAGCAGAGACAATATCAAAGAAAATGAGTGGGCTTGGGAGATAGTAAATGCATATAAAACAGGAAAGGGGACATTCCAGCAAAGGAATTGTGATGTGTATGTTTCTACTAGCCTATGCCAGTTCCCGTTCCACGATCTAGATTTTGGATGGGGGAAGCCAAGTAGAGCACGTTTAGGAGGTCATTTAATAAGCAAGTTTTTTTCCTTGATGAGCACACATGATGGAGGAATACAAGTCTCCGTCCACTTGAATGAACAACAAATGTCTGTCTTTGAGAATGACCAGCATCTTCTCCAGTTTGCTACTCCTACTGGTTAGGATGTTGTTCTGGAACAGATATGATTTTATCTTATGGGATATTTATTACTAAATGGACAAAAGCTTCTGAGCATATGCCATCTTAATTAAAAGAACAAATTCCAACGTGCCAAGGACTTTCATGTCTCTTTCCTTTAATTTAGACAACTGCATCACTCAGTTTCCTTTCTATATCTTTCTTTCTTTTTGTACAACAAAATTACTGCTAGTCTTGATGGTCGTTTCCAGACACCATTGATTGTGTTCTCATAATTACACCCTTCTATTCTATGTACCCCCACGGCCCACACTCATTTTAGTGAACCTACTATGATCACAAACAGGTTTGTGTTTAAATCAATATAGCTAACATGTTTAGTATATATTAAGACTCTAAGATATGTTGCGCAACTGCACATATCTAACCAAGACAAGACGGCATGAGCAGGTTCCTGCAAGAATCAACAACATTATGAACGGAAAAAGATTGAGGTTGTTCAATCTCGACTAGGACTTGGGAGGTTTGGCTTAGTCCCCCTCCTATGTAAATATTTTATTGGTGATCTATGATATTTTCACTCGGACATTTGATTTTGGAAGCTAGGTGGTTCTATTTTTTATTTTATTTTAAAAAACACGAGTTTTTGCTAAGATATATGCTACAATCAAGAACATTCAATGACAAAGAAAAAGTCTCATGCTATCATACAAATCAATCATAGACTTTTTTATTGTACAAAAAGTATGCCTGCCATATCATGTTCAATGAATTTTACATGTATAGACTCCATAATTCTAGTACCTCGACAAGGGCAAAAGAGCATTTATCCATTTTGGGTCTAGCTATCCAATGAAAAAGCAACTAGGAATTTTTGGGTTTGACTGTCTCAAAAAAGCAATGTCAAGGCATGGTGTATTGTTAACATCCTACAATTCTGGAAGTATTAGGTAAAAGGTCCTATATGTTGTGAGTGGTATCATACCGATGGTAGTAGTCAGTAGTTAACCTAACACAAGTAACAAGTTCCTAAGTCCTTTCTCCGATACTTCAGCTTGTCCATTCTTCTTAATTTCATCATTTTGTTGTGTTGTTCTGGTTCAATATAAAACTTCTATCTCTGTATGTGGACCTTAGGGAGTTTTTTCAGTTCTAAAATGTGCGGCCAAACAACATTATCTTGCTGACTTTTACTAATTGTTCCTCTAGTTTAGTCTTAAGAATATAATTAGAATTTCTCAAGCTCTCAAATTTCTCTATTAATCGTGTAAAGATAACCGAATTGGAAAAAGTCATCAATAAAAATGATGAAACATATTACCACAAAGGAGACTAAAGTCTACTAATGTATTTGTGTATATCTACCAACGATCGACTTGAACTTATAGTTGCACCATGATGGATTTTCAATGTTTTTGCTTTATGTTTTGATGATCTAACAAACTTACTGTCAAGGACCAGATAGGGAACCTGACACACTTGGGCTACATTGCAAGTTAACGGATTCTAGCTAAATGTGAACTGTTATAGCTTTAGGAGATAGAGAACCAAATAAGGACCTGATCCACAAGTGGTTCCCTCATAGCAGTATGAGGTCAATGGGACACAACTGGAAGCGACGTGACTGATTGCACTGTTTCTGCCTACACTGCACTCTGACCAACTAAAGTGGTCACTTGTCCTTTGACTAACTAAAGTGCTTATATTATTCAAGTGATGTCATCAAGGTGTATTAACAAGGAGCTTATATCAAAACATCACTTGAACACTTGAGATTTCATTCAAGCCTTCTGCACAACACTGAACTTAATTCTCAAGAGCTTGAAGAATAAAGTTAAACGCTATTACGGACCAGTTCTTAAATCTAGTATTTTGTTGTCCTTAGTTGAGTTGTAACTTTGTGATTGTTCTTATTGTAACTCATAAATTGCTTAGCTGCGTTGATTAGGAACCCTCTTGTAAAATCATAAACTCTCTGAGTTTGTGTTGTGACTAGAGTTAGCCATAAGTTAAAGTCTTTGTAACTAGAGAGTGACAAAGTGGCTTGTGGTAAGAGTATCACCAATTAGTTGAGTTGAAGTCTTTGTACTGGAGTCATTACAAAGTGGCTTGTAATAGGTGTTTACAAGTTAGTGAAGTTAAAAGCCTACAAGTGTAGGTAGTGATTTTTGTCCCCTTGAGTGGTATTTTTCCACGTAAAAATTCTGTGTCTCCTTTACTTACTGCTTCACTAGTATTCTCAGTGGAAACTCATAGAGGACCAAGTACTTTATAGTTTGGTGGATTCATATAAACTAATAATTGGTATCGGAGTAGGTTCCTCCTATCAGGCTAACACCTGGGAAGTATCTTTATGGCTATTCCACCAAATTTTGAAGAAGGTCAATCTACATACAGACCACTCAGGTTCAATGGACAACACTATGGGTGGCGGAGGATAAGAATGCACGATTTTATCATGGTTGAGGATTCAGAGTTATGGGATGTCATATGTGATGGCCCTTACGTCCCAACAAAGGTACTTGAAGGACTTCCAGTCTCAATTCCAAAAACCAGAAAAGAATACACCGACGCAGACAGGAAAGCCGCGGAGAAGAATTTTCGTGCCAAGAAGATTCTGGTATGTGGAGTAGGACCTAATGAATACAATAGAATCTCTGCTTGTGACACTGCTAAGGAGATATGTGAAGCTTTGCAAATAGCTCATGAGGGAACTACCTAAGTAAAATAATCTAAGATCGATATGCCCACTGCCAAGTATGAACTCTTCAGGATGAAGGACGATGAATCTATTTAAGATATGCACACAAGATTCACTTCCATCATAAATGAGTTGCACTCACTTGGTAAAACCATTCCTAGGAACAAGCTAGTGAGGAAAATCCTCAGTATCCTGCCTAGCTCTTGGAAAAGCAAAGGTGAATGCTATTACTGAAGCAAAAGATCTGTAGGAGCTGACCATAGATGCGCTGGTTGGAAATCTAAAAACCTACGAGATGAAGAGGAAGATCGACGGTGAAAGAAGAGAACCAAAGAAAGAAAAGAACCCGGTACTCAAAGCTGATAGCAATGACTCAAGTGAGAAGGACAGTGACATGGCTTACTTAACCAAAAGATTTCAGAAGATGGTCAGAAGAAATGGAGAAATGCTAAAAAGGGGCAGCTCTAGCAAACCAAAGAACTATGATCTCTGTCATAAGTGTGGAAAGCCTGGGCATTTCATCAAAGACTGTCCTCTCCTAAAGCAAGAATTCTCCAAATACAACCCTGAGAAAGCAGCTAAAAGAAATCGGTTCCTGACAAAGACTTCAAAAGAAAGAGATTTGCTGATAATGTGGTAAAACAGGCTCTTGCAACATAGGGGGACTTCTCTAGTGAATCTGAAGGTGAAACTGATGCTGGTGATAGCTCCATGATAGCAGTTGAAAGCAAGGAAAATGAATATGAGTCAACTTTTGCTTTGATGGCCCAATCAGATGATGATAAAGACCATGACAACAGTGAGGTAAATTTCAGGGATGTTCAGAGAAATCTGAAATCCCACTCTTCTAAGAAACTTATGTCTTTAGCTAATGTCTTGATTGATGCCTATCATAACCTTATGGAGGGTAATGATGCCTTGATCTTACAACTAGGGGAAGCTGAACAAACAAGAGATGATTTGGTAGTGTGTGTAGTGGATCTGAAGGAAACCATTTGTCAGTTGAAGAAAGAAGAAGATGTCTTGACCAAAAAGATTGCCAACTTAGAGCATGGAAGAGATGACTTAGTGGTGGTTGTTGTTGGCCATAAAGAAAATTATTGAGAACTTCAGTAGAGAAAAGGAGGCCCTAGTGAAAAGAGTGACTAGGAACAATGGAGATGAGGGAAACAATGGAGGGACTAGGAACTGAGTCTAAACCCGAAAATACTAGAAAGGGGAAAGAGGTAGCTAGTGAGGAACACATTAGGCTTGAAAACGAGTTGAAGCTGTGAGAACTAGGTTGTATGTTGAAACTGAGAAAAACAAGCACCTCCAAACTGAACTAGAAAGAGTAAAAAATGATCTTGAAAAGTCCCTAAAGTGGACCTGGTCCTCAGAAGCTATCACTGCCATGTACACTAATAATGGTGAAAACAGGCAAGGAATAGGGTTCCAAAGGGAGAAAACCTCTAACAACCCACATAGCAACTATGTGACTGTACCCGAAAACTGGATGTGTATCCACTGTGGGAACAATGGACATTTCAAGGAAAATTGCCAAGCTAGGGTCCAGTCCATTCAGAAAAACAGAGTGTTTGCTGAAAATGTAACTCCTAAAAAGGGACCAGGTTCCACTCACAAAAAAAGCATACTACTTGTATGGACTAAGAGAGATCTTATTCATCCTCTTGCCTACTACAAGGGACCCAAACTTGCTTGGGTCCCTAAAACTAACTCTTGATCTCCTTGTGTAGGGAACATTGAAAGGAAGCGATCAACAATGGTTCATGGATAGTGGGTGTTCAAAGCACATGACTGGGAATACCAAGGACTTTCTTTCACTAAAAGCCATGCAAGGAGGGATTGTATCCTTTTGTAATGGGAAAAAAGGTTACATTCTTAGAGTTGGAAAAGTAGGGAAATCACTCACTCACTCTATTGAAGATGTATACTATGTCAATGGTCTTAAGTACAGTCTCTTGAGTATCTCTCAGATCTGTGATAAAGGAAACAAGGTGGAATTCTTGTCCAAGATATGTACAGTTACTAATTTGGTACCTGGTGAAGTGGTACTTGTAGCTAAGAGATACAAAAACATCTATGTTGCTGATTTCGAGTCCTTACAAAGTGGTGATCTGAGCTGTCTAAAAGCTGTTGATGATAATACTGAACTCTGGCACAGAAGATTGGTGCACACAAGTTTTTCTCTTCTGAACAAACTAATTCAGAAGGACCTGGTCCATGGTTTGCCCATGTCAAAGTTCAAAGTGCAGAAATTTATGATGCATGTGCTAGAGGAAAACATGTGAAGTCCTCTTTTAAGTCTAAAAGGGATGTAAG